TTTGAAAACCGTGGTTCTAAATTGGTAGCCCGAGTTATCGTTTTGTATAGTGACTATTTTATGATGGTATGCAATTATTGTTTCGCACTATCCCTTTGTCGTTGTTTATTGTCCGGGTTAATTAGTTTCGCTTCCGCTTGCTTTTATTGTTGGGTGTTTCATTTGGGTCGGCGACGCGTCCTGGGACGTCGCGTTCAATGATCGACCACCAAGGGATGACCGCGCGCTCGTAGGGTGCGGGGCGTGACATACTAATTCGTCAAATATGAGTAATGTATCATTGTAAGAAGCATATCTACTCAAAGTTCCGACGGAATTAGCGACGGATTCGAAAAATTGGTCAGTATAAACATTTCCGTCGCTAATTCCGTTGCAAATTAGCGACGGATTTGAAAAAATGGGCGCCATGTGCCACGAAGATCACTTCCGTCGCAAATTTGCGACTGATTTTGCGACGGATTCCAAAAATAAAGGGCATTTTCCAAATCCGTCGCAAATTTGCGACAGAAAAATAAGTCCATTGCAAATTTGCGACGGAAAAATTAGTCCGTCGCAAATTTGCGACGGAAAATAAGTCCGCCACAAATTTGCGAGGGGAAAAATTAGTCCGTCGCAAATTTGCGAGGGGAAAATAAGTCCGTCGCAAATTTGCAATCGGAAAATTAGTTCGTCGCAAATTTACGACGGAAAAAAAAATCCGTTGCAAATTTGCGACGGATTTTGTGACGAATTTGACCAAAAATATTCCCGCCCATTTGACAAAAAAAAAAAGAAAAATTCCCGCCTGGCCTTTGCCCCCCTCCTCTTCTTCTTCTTCTTCTTCTCTTCTTCCTCCTCGCGCGCACGTCCTCTGCTCCGACCTTCTCAGCTCCTTCTCCCTCTTCTTCCTCTTCCTCTTCCTCTTCTTCTCTCTCTCTCTCTCTTTCTTGATCTCTGCAGCCTGGCGATCTCTCCTCAGACCCAACGAGGAATTGCCGCGATCTATCCCCTTCTCCGCTGCTCCAGCTCAGGTAAGATCCTCGCATTCCCCCGTCTTCGCTCCATCATCGGCCATCAAGGTGCAGCTCCACGTGTCTCCCTTCGTTTCTTTTAGCTGTTGTTTGTCTTTGGGCTTCTGGAGGTTGCATTTTGACTTTCTGCTGTTTCGATGTCCGCGTGCTTTTGGAGTTCTGGGTTTGTTCGTTTGCTTCTTCTTGTTGTGAAATTTCGGAACTTGGGGAGGTTCGAGCTGATGGGCGTGTTGTTCTTTTCCCCTCCATCGACTGTCTCGTTCAGGTCCTGTCATGAGCTGATCGCGTCTCGCTATTGGGTCGTTCTTCCGGCGGAGAATTTTTGCGGGATCTCGAAGCGGAGTGAAGTAAAGTTGTTCCGAAGTTTAAGCTGAATCTTGTGCCTTTTTTGGGGGTCGATGAGGAATACCGCGGCAACCGGCGCCGGGGCGGCCCTGGTGTTTCTGTGCTTGTCCGCGTCGTTGGTGGCGGCGGCGGTTTTGGGGGCGAACTATGTGCCCACCGATAAGATCCTGCTGAATTGCGGGGCGGATCAGCAGACCACCGATACCGATGGCCGGGTGTGGACCTCGGACATTGGTTCCAAGTTCCCATCTTCCACCGCGAACTCGATCACGGCCGCGGCCGCCACGCAGGACCCCTCGGTGCCCCAAGTCCCATACATGACCGCGAGGATCTTCCCGTCTAATTTTACTTACAGTTTTCCCGTGGCATCCGGTCGGAAGTTTGTCCGGTTGTACTTTTATCCGTCTTCGTACAATTCGTATAAAGCGTCCAATGCTATATTCTCTGTTTCTACTGGGGATTATACTCTTATGAAGAACTTCAGTGTGGCCCAAACGATGGAGGCTTTGAAAGTACTCGGTCAATGTTGAGGGGCAGACGCTGGACCAGTTGGTCGCAAATTAATGACCAAAAAAAAAATTCATCAAAAATTAGCGATTGCCACGAATACATTTCGTCGCAATTTTTAGACCAAAAAAAAAAACATTTCGTTGCAATTTAGAGAACAAAAAAAAAATTTCGTGGCACATTAGAGACGAATTTTGCGATGAATACAGTTCATGGCTAATTTTGCGACGAATTTTGCCACGAATAATTAGCGACGAATTTTGCGACGGACAATTAGTGACGAATACAGTTCGTGGTTAATTTTCGACGAATTTTGCGACAAATTTTTTGCGACGAATAAAGTTCGTGGCTAATTTGCGACGAATTTTTTGCGATGAATTTTTTGCGACGAATTTTTTTTCGTCGCAAATTAGCGACGAAAATTGATATTTTCCGTCGCTAAATTTTGCGACGCCGAATTATCGACGGATTTTTTTCCGTCGCAAAATTTGTCGCAAATTCGTTTAGCGACAAATTTTGCGACGGACAATTAGCGACGAATTTTGCGACGAATACAGTTCGTGGCTAATTTGCGACGAATTTTGCGACTAAATTGCAACGAATTTTGTGACGAAATTTGCGACGGATAGTGCTCGTGGCTAATTTGCGACGAATTTTGCGACGGATAGTGTTCGTGGCTAATTTGCGACGAATTATTTGCGACGAATTTTGCGACGAATTTTTTTCCGTCGCAATTTTGCGACGGAAATTGAAATTTTCCGTCGCAAAAATTTGCGACGACCTATTAGCGACGGAATTTTTTCCGTCGCTAATTTTGTCGCAAATGCGATTTTCGACGGATTTTTCCTTTTTTTCCGTCGCAAAAATCGTCGCTAATCCGGCGTTTTTTTGTAGTGTAAATTGTTGCTAAATAAGATGCTCACTAAGAATTGAACAATGTAGAGATAATTTTATAACATCATAACCTATATTTGACAAATAAATGTTATCCAGGAATTAACACAAAGTGATCCATCGTTACAAAAGAAAACAAAAACTTGGATTAGCATATTCATTTGAAAAAATAAACCACTATCATGGAAAGTTTACGGAACATATATAGTATATGTTTACTTGGTTATATTACACAGTTGCGCATCATAAATGAATGTGAAAGCCATTAGCAAGTTGACGGTTTTAACTAACGGTGGACGATTAAGGACTTGATTGCCCAAGCTGTGAAAAATAAAGGACTACTTTGAGAAAAATAAAATCAGATATGGGACTAAATCACACAAACAATAATCCTTTACGGACTAAACTTATACTTAACCCAACTGGAAAATTATAGGAACCGGGATAACTAATTGTCACAAAATGAATGGAGGTCTCATTTGTCAGATCAAACAATTCATAAGAAGTCAACAATCAATAAAAGAGAAAAGAAAGAGAGGACCTCATAAGAAATTGGGATCATGACACAAATGATTTATGAACTTTGGCTCAATGTGTAATGTGGTCATTGAATTTTTAATTTGTTCAATGTGATCCCTAAACTTTAGTCCAATGTGCTATATGGTCCATGAACTTTCAATTTGTTCAATGCGATCCCTGAATTTTTAGTACCTGTTGAACATTTTCAATATAGTTCAGGGACTAAATTGCATTGAACATTTTTCATATAGTTCAGGGACTAAGTTGAATAGGTACCAGAAGTCCAAGGAGCGCATTGAATAATTTGAAGTTGAGGGACCACATTGTGCATTGAGCTCTAATTCAGGGACCACATTGAACAAATTAAAAGTTCATGGATCACATTACACATTAAGCCAAAGTTTAGGGATCATTTATGTCATTTTCCCTAAGAAATCAAAAGAAGAATCCAACATTAAATAGGTGAATTAAAGTTACCAAAGGAGAGGCTCCTAATACCAGGAGATAAAGATATATATATTAATCATCAATAACCAAGAAATTGCTCCTCAATTATGTGCTAGAATTAGGTAAGAACGACAATTAATCGAAAGAGCTCTTTTGCTGGTGGAAGAAGCAAATTTTGGGGACTAAGGATTGACAATAATTTTTATCTCAAACGAGAAAGAGAAGATGGACTCACATTCATTAATTAAGACAAATAGATAAAACTCTTACCTTGTTGCTATTAATCACATCCGTGGCATCCTCACAAATCCATAATCTGCTACGCTTTTGAAGCTTCTTTTTATTTTCTAGATGAACAATTTCCCTTCCGAGATCTCTTAGTTGATCATGCATCATTAGCTTGCCGTCTTCGTCAACTTTAATTAGGGACATAAGACTCAATACTTCGATTCCCTTCCTCGGAAAAAAACCACAAGCATCCTACATATAAGTTGGATTTTGTTTAGATGATCCAACAAATAAACATGCAATATCTAAAAAAATTTGTTGCTCCTCTTCATCTAATGCATCATAACTTATCCTTAACTTATTTTGTACTGTTGTATCTGGCACTTTCTTCAATTTCTTTAATGTATCTTTCCATACTTCTTTTGTCTTCCTCCATAAGAAGGAACCTATAATTTCAAGAGCTAAGGGAAGGCCCCCAATAGTGGACACGATATCACGAGAGATAACCTAATAATCGCTTTGAGGAGAATCCTTTCCAAATGCATGTCTACTAAATAAAATCAATGACTGATCTGAAGGCAACTCGTTGAGTCGGTACATGTAGTCTGCCTTAGTCTTGTCAAGAATACTCTTGTTTCTAGTTGTTATGATGACTATACTTCCAGCTTTAAACCAACTACTATATCCAGCCAAAGCATTGAAGTGAGTATAATCATCCATATCATCAAGAAGAACGAGAACTTTCTTACTTGTAAAATGAGACTTGATAACATCGATTCCCTCATAGACATTAGACACATCATCTGAATTTCTTAGTATATCACAAATGAGTTGCTTTTGTAGACATTCAATACCCTTGCGCAGAGATGTTTCTCGAATATTTGCCATGAAGCTAAGATATTTAAAATGACTAGATAGTTTCTTGTAGAGGACTCTTGCAAGAGTAGTCTTACCGATACTGCCCATTCCATAAATTCCGATAATCCTCGTACAATTGAATTTAGCATCTATCTGGCTTATAATCTGTTCCACAAGATCATCAATTCCCACCATTGAGCCCAAAAGGTCTTTTTAACTCGCTCATAACTCTTTCGACAACTGTTTTAACTAGCACTGCTTCATGCCTATCAAATGATAGTAGAAATTTCAATATATGATGGCAAAATTTATTTTCTTTTTCAAGTAAGATCTAGTTATAAGAAACTAAACAAGGTTATGTGTTGAATAATGTACCCGTTATCAATTTTCTCTGATTCTCATCCTTTCAATGAGCTTATTTATTTGAGCGCTTCTTCCCATTCTTTCACGACCATTTTGTCCAAATTCTTTTCACGTGCATTGATATTGCATGCCCATTTCCCTACAAGATGTCGCAACCGTGAGGGTTTCACTTTGTAAAATATCGCCAACACTATTTGCCCTCTGCTTCTCTTGCATTTCAACATATGCGCCAGCTCGCAAAGGCACCATTTGCTGTAAGCATAGTCCTCAGAGATGATCGGGATTGAGATCTTAGATTGAGTAATACTATAGAGAAGCTTCGAACCAATCTCCTCACCAACACATAGCTCATTGTCATCTCTGAACACGTGAATTCCTGCATCGACAAGGCGGGTATATAGATGATCGGTGAAGCCAGTACGAGAGTGTCTTTTCCTCTAAAGCTCAAGAACACTTCGTAATCATTCTCTTTTGGCCTTTTGGTTCTGCCTTCATAATTGCCCGTGTGTGGAGAGGTCGATGAGGAAGACCTCTTGTAATTCAGATCTTCTGAATGAATGAGTTCTTTTCTTTTCATCTCAGATCTGAGATTGCAGAAATGTCTCACAGAATTCAATTCGGAACCCATTAGAAGAAAATGGAGCAGTCAAAACACGAAACACAGAAGAGAAGAGCAAGGAGTCATCGATTACCTGAGGAGTGCTCAAACAACACAATCCTCCTACTGCTGTGATCTCCACCGTTTCTTTTGCTTCTACGTTGGATTACCACAGACAACAAATTTTACTGCGCGTGCTTTGATAAAGCTGAGTTCTTGCATCCAAGGGTCGAAGATTCTTCATGCTAATCAAATCGCTGCGATGCAAGCTGCACGAAAGTTGCACGCGTAGTTTCCGCAACATTATGCGGAAGGTGTGCGGAAGTGACGGATGTGCTTTTTGACTTGACTTGGTTTTTTGGTTATATGAAAAAAAAGAAAAACTAACGAGCAATGCTCACATGTTTTTTATTTTTGACTTGACTTGCTCTTTTTGTGGGGAGATTTATTTTGAGATCATCACGACTGGACTTGACTTGACTTTTAATGATAAAAAATAGAAAAGAAAATTGACGAGTCAATGACAAAAACATATCAATAGTCGGATCACATAGGATACTGGACACTTCATTAAGATATTGAAATCAAGAAAGTTTGTTATTTCAATTTAAAATTTGACTTGTTTTCTAAAAGACATTCCCATTGAAAAGCGACTCTCAAAATAAATCTCCCACCTCCAACCCCCCACCCCACCCCCAAAATTTTTTTTTTCTCAAATTTGATTTCGTCATTTCACATCATACCAAAAGATTATTTAGTTATAAACCCCATCAAGTCACTCTCAGAAATTAATTATTATTCATATTTTACATAAATATTATTCTTTTAATGTCATACTTAAAAATTCTTGACTAACAGGTTCTTCGCAATCGAATAAATATTCAGTAATACATTTTCCCTTTTTATTTCATTTTTGTTGAACTTTTTATTTCAAGTTGAGGTTCTCGGCCAACAGGTCGTCCACCAAAATATATTTTTTCTTAGCACAATATAGGAGGATTCACATATTAACTTATTTAACATTAGAAAAGCAATTTAAAAAAATAAAGCTATTAAATGAAGAGATTACATTTTACAAAAGGCAAACATGTGATTACTTTGACACCTAGTATATTATAGCTTTATAGTTTTCTTATTTTTGCTATTCTGATAAACGGGTTACCTTATAAAACCTCCTAAGGTAAGAGCATATACTCACTTCTTTACTTATAGCTACGAAGATTCTTCTATTGTTTGTAAGCTTCCTTAGAACCCGAAATGATGACAGGAGATAAAAAAGCTCAGCAACTTAGTACACAAGTGACTAACCACATCTCATTATTCTACGATAATAAAATTGACCAGTGTGTCTGTTGCGAAAACAATCGATCTAACAACAAAATAAATAGAAGAAAAAAATAAATCGAACACCAGATTTACATGATTTGGTCAGTTTGACCTACGTTCACGGAAAGAATAACAAATAATTCTATTGTAAATCAAACTATATAACGGAGATTACAACCATACTTGAGTAATTTATATACTTTCAATGTTTCCTAGCCCAATTATATCCAGTAATTCAAATAGTGTTTAGCCTCACAAATTCTTACGAAATAATTTCTCAATCTCATAAAGAAATTAATAAATTTTGCCATAAGACTTGATTGGCTTCAACACTAAACTTATTAATGCAATTCCACGAAGAAAATCCACACCACGCACTTGGTTGAAAAACGGCGTTTCAACAACTAGAAAAACCCTCGCAGAAATGCATATATATATATATATAATATTGGTTAATACCATGAAAAATCCAAAACTGGTAGACCCATGATAAATTTATCCAAAACTAATTTTTTAACCATTAAAAATCCCAAACTGGTACACCTGTGATAATTTTACCCTCTGTTAGTTTTCGCTAAATTTTACCATCAAATTTATGAGTTGGATGATACATGGTAGTTAACAGGTGTACCAATTGAGGGTTTTACCCTCCATTTGTCATATATGTACCAGTTTGTGATTTTTCGTGGTAATAATTCAATTTAATGGAGGTAAATTTGTCACAAACATATCAGTTTGGAGTTTTGGGTGGTCAAAAAATTAGTTTGGAGTAAATTTGTCACAGGTGTACTAGTTTAGGGTTTTTAGTGGTCAAAACATTAATTTGGGACAAATTTGTCACATATATATTAGTTTAGGATTTTCGTGGTATTAACCCTATATATAAAAGAAAAGGCAAGTTTGATCAAATCACGGTCCATGTTGTACTTTTCAATTTTAGTGGCCGAAGACTCCCACTAATATTAGGAAGTTAATCTCCAAAACTTAGGCTTAGATCCCTTTTTCTTTTACTTCCACGTGACCAATTAATTTTAAGCACTTCAAATTCCGGATGGGTTTTACTTGACGTACTTAAACTCAAGACATGTTTTAATGATATTACACGATCAAGTGATTTGAAAAGGAAATCTGGCATGCTCACTATTTAAAGAAAGCAAGAAGAAAAGACCCAATTAAGTTATACAATATACAAAGTGAAAAGTGATTTTGAGTTGAAAGTTTCAATACATGGGTCTTGTCGCTTAAAATCTCAATTGTATGATCACAATCACCTGTCCTACCACAAGGTCCAAATGAATCCCTTCGATTGGAGATGAACGGAATGAATGAAATGCATAGCCTTAGTTTAGGGTTATGATTGGATGGATAACTACTAGTATCAAATATAAACAAGACTTATACCAAATATTAGAGAAAAGTACTAAAAAAGTCTTAAACCTATTGCATTTGTACCAATTCAGTCCTAAACCTTTTAATTGGATTAATTTAGTGTTAAACCTTTTGGCCAATTTAGGCCAAAAATCGCTGATGTGGTGGCCAAACATCTGACATGACATAGCTAGCGGATGGCCAGTGCTGGTGTAGATATTTTTAATAATATTTTAAATTTTATAAATTTCTTTATAAAAAAATTCGCATTTTCATTTTTCCTTTTTCTTCCCTTCTCTTCCATTTGCCTATGGCTGGTACTCTACGATGGCCTGCAACCGGCCACAGGCAAGGGTTGCCCTCACCATACCCCACGGCCTTTGGCGAGGGCTGCCCTTGCCGGCTCTAGTAAGGGCCGCCCTTGCTGGATCTGACGAGGGCTCGAGCCTCACCTGTGGCCAGTCACCAGCCATGGCCAAGTACCGGCCATAGGCCAAAGGGAAGAGAAGAGAAAAAACAAATAAAGGAAAAAAAGAAAGAAAGAAAATAAAATATTATTAAAAAATTATGAAAAATGTCAACGTTAGCACTTGTTGTCCACCAGCCGTGCCATGTAGGACAGTCGGCGTCCACGTCAGCGATTTTCGGCTTAGATTAGCTGGATTGACTGAATTGGTACCAATTTGAAAATGTATAAGACTAAATTGGTCCAATTGAAAAGTTTATGACTAAACTTGTATCACTGCAATAGGTTTATGATTTTTTTGGTACTTTCAATTTGATTTCATTAGTTGAAGATCTTGTTTCAAATAGTACTTATTGATGTTATAAGAACTGCCCAGCCTGCCAACACTTATTAGATGCCCAACATCCTAATCTTGTTTATGATATTTTTGTATTAGGCAACTCGACCTAAGCTGTGTTGTACTGAATAAAATATTGTCAACTTAGCGGTTCACTCACACCTGCATAGCTTTAAATTGCGTCGTGTCGATTTGAGTTCGTGTGATACTTATTTTCCCTGAATAATATTTCAAACACATGCAATGTAAGATTACATAAATATTTAACACCTAACACTGACAAACATTATGAATTCCTAATTCTTTCCCTATTTTAATTTCATTTCCCAGAATATTTTTAAAAGGTGTGGAAATTTGAAAATATGTGGAAAAAGTAACTATGGGAAATGAGTCAGCGATCACTTAACGTCCATCTGTAGGTCTCGAGTTGTAATGAACAATTTAAAGTTTCTCCACAAGATCCAAATTAATGATTAATGAAAAACGTCATACGACGAAACTTATGCTACAAATATCTAAATTACTTTCGTCTGTTCAACCCAATTTTATTGTGTGAATGCCGTGATATTGTCTCCACCTTGGTCTTACTTACAAGTGTACTTTTCAAATGTACCAATCCTAACAACAAAACATAGAGAGTTACTTGTTGCTAGCAAATAGGATAATGAATGAGCTATCTTGAATTCGACTTGATTGGAAATTTACTACTCAGGACGTCTCTTCTATCACCTCAATTGTTAAAATTGAAAAATGTATTCAACACAACGTTCAAAATCAACTTATACAATTTGGGCACATTCTCTCCTATATTATTTGCGTTAATGTTAATTTTGGGCTGCCATATTCAACACGAGCTTTTTTTTTGTTTTTGTACATTTAACTTACAAAACATGAAAAGAAATGAAGAATCCAAAGCTCTAGACACCGAAAGTGATCAACTTTCAGAGTGAAGAGATGAGGACCTCTCACTCAAATTGCTTCTCATCCTTCCAAGAGGGCTTGCCATTAATCTAATACTCACTAGACTTAGAGATCTACATAAAAATGTAATAAAAACTTTAGGAGTAACAAAATTAAAGTTCAAGAACTCCTTGATGGCAGAGGAATTCCGCTCTTGTAATATGCAAGCTCAATGTCTTCCACAAATATGCTAAGCAACGTTAGCAGTTAGACATATCAACTGGACAGGTGATCAAGCTTTTGATGTGCATTCAGTGATGGTTTTGATATATCCACCATTTCTCCTGACATAGAGAACAAACATATATTCACTTATTCAGCATTTGCAAACTACGTACTCTGCCGCGACGGAACTATGTGGATGTTTGTGCTTCCTTCCCTATGCAATCCGTTAAAAGCAGTAATAAAAAAACAATCTCAGACATTCCGAGCAGTCAAATTTTACTAAATCATGCTAAGACCAGGTCTAATTGCTTTAGTGTTAGATTTCCATATGCAAATATAATTAAACAAAAGTATATCAACAGGTGTAGAGGAATCTGATATATCCGCGTGCCATGTGCAGAGGTGCACGCATGCTTTGCACGTTGGCCCACATTTCATAAAAGGCAATCATAAGCTTTTGAAAGATTGCCAGTGTCCCCCGCTATTGTCTCATCGGCCTTTGTCCCCAAAGCTAATAATGCACCGACGCTCCACTCTCTACGCTACACGTGCTTGACCCCCTCCCTGATTTCAAATTTGGCATCAGAGAATATTTTTATTATATAGTGGACGAGAGACAACTTTTATGGACCTAAAGGACTAAATCATCAAGCAAGAGAGAGTAATTG